GTTGACGACATGGACATGCATGGTATGCATAAACAATGAAGCAGCTGGTTCGTCCTTCGGGCGGGCAGGATGCCGTAATCTCTGACGCCTAGTTTGTTTGTTAATTAATGAAATCAAGGATTCAAGGGGAGCTTTGTTGAGAGTTGCCTAACTACGTTTTTATTAATATTTTGTTTTAAAAATTAGGTGGGATATTGAAACTTTGTCTGTCTTTTACCTTTCATGTTGAAAGCCAAAACCCTATCAAATTTCGGTTTGGACATACTTTCTTCAAGTTCTATATTATATTTTAAAGTATTAAATATGTCTTCTGCTGATCGAAGCTTCCCAATATATTCATCAAAGTATTTCTTGTGGATTAATATATCATGAACCATAATGCTTCTTAATGTTTGGATCGAGAGCTCCGCCAATGTTAATCACCCTCCACGTATACATACGGCGGATAGTTAATCAACAACTGTAATACTCTACGAGTTCACGAGCGACTAATTAGATGGTTGTTAATTGGGCACCCTTATTAGTTTGCCCTTAAATAAAGAAAAATATACGCAGCTTGTGATGGTGATGTTAATTGTGTGTATGCGTTGCAAGCATTTGGACTTTTGAGTTGAAGAATACCTAACCTGCACAACAATGAAAAGGAAAACTGGAAAGTGATCGATTTGGACAGCCACCATTTTCAGCGGAGGATGCTTGTCCCAGATGAAGAAGTAAGCCGCCCAGTTTCCTTGTCTGCATGAGCACACACTTTGTGTGTGTGAACAACCGTCCACCTCCTTTCCCGTTCTCCTCAAACACAACTGTTTCAGTTCATTCAAACTATCCAAAAAACATCATGATTTCACTTACCTGCATGAAAAAAATGATGGTAAGACAATTTCTCTTAATAAGTGCATATTTTTATCTTATGTAAATATTTTGATACAAAATTATTATTTTGCCCTTCTTATATAAATATTATGTATAAAAAATGAGGGCAAAATAGGAAAAATGAAAAAAAAATTCAAAAGATACAAATTTACTATTTTACCATCCTCATGTTAATATCGTGTATCAAAATTGAGGGCAAAATAAAAAAAAAAATAAAAATGTTGACATGCCATATTCTCTTAATAGAATAGATAGATAAAAAGTGATTATTTTTTGGTAAATTAGAAATTAAAATAAGAAAGTTTAATTAGGTCTGCTGGACAGGGATTAGGAAGTCCTACTAGTACTAGTGCATTGAGCTGGCCTAGTCCTAGCATATCCAGAAAAAACGACCTTCGAGGACAAAACTGCATCCATCAAGTACAATGTAAATAGATATAATAAAAAAAGAAATGTGATTTTAAGAGTATTTTTTTTTTGATGGATATGAAAAATTTACATTCTAGTACTATAATCACGTGAGCTTGGTGCAAAGCGCTCTTATATGGATCTTAATTGTCTCATGCAAAATTAGAGATAAACTGGTACTTGCTCTAAATTAAAAGTAAATGTAAACAATGCGTGAACATACAGGTATCATTTATTTTAGTAGGTTGTGGTACTTTTTTGTAGGGAGTGCAATTAGACCGCTCTTAACTCTGTCTAATTGGTTTGGAAAATGCCTCACTTAAGGAAACAATCATGGGATTGATTGATTTCTTTGTTTTGTTAACTAGGGATTTACTTTTCTTTCATGGCCAAGGAAAACAACTCTATACCTTTCAGACCTACCTACTAATCATGTTCTACATACAAATTCATCTTATTCATACCCTTTGATTCCTTAATAATACATATATAAAGTAATATTAGGCGAGTCAAATTACATAAAAGCCCTCATATAATCACAAGCCAATAAAAGCCAACTAAGTATTAGTAAGGTAACAAGGACCTGGATTCTCTGTCATCTCTATCTTATATCATTCTTATCTCCTCCTATATTATGTGGTCACGGTTAAAACACGTTAATATTTTATATTAATTTTTTTTATATAAATAATAAGATAAAAAGCAATAAAAATATAAAATTTTGACGTGATTTAACCGTGACCATGAAAATAAGAGGGGATAAGAAGTGTGTGAGATGGGGAGGGCTCCAGCTCCAGGTAACAATCCATGCCGCTAGTGAGTTTGTACGACGCTCTACTGTGAAAATTGTTTTACATAATCTTGTGTAGATACCATCACTCTAAAAATTACTAGTCACTAAAAGCTGCGATGAAGAGGCATTTTTTACAGTTTTACAGGGTTCATACAAGAACACAATGCAGAGCTGCAGACTCGGACAAAGTTTCTACAAAACGAAGGGCAGAGAGGAGAGAGATAAAACAGAGAGAGAAGGTCTGAGTACACGTTGGAGAGAGATGCTCACAATTTCCATCCTCTACCCCACACGTGACACGTAGCTAGCAAAGCCATTACGCACATTACAGGTTGGACATTCTGATTGACCCACGCCAGAGAACCGGTGCGCTGAAGAGAGAAAAGATTCGGAGATAATCTCTTTCATCAAGATTACCGGATCAAATGATTCGAACTTTTAAAATTTTATCCAATAGTAAAAAATTATTATAGTTTTTAAGAGATCAAAATAGATGGGCCGTTGAATGAAATTTTAAAAGTACGGATCACTTAATCCGGTGATTTTGGTGAAAGAGATCTAGAGAGGATCTCTTCTTTGCTGAAGAGGTCACCCAAAAAATGGGTGTTGGGTACTGAATTACGATATAATAGTATTTTTTTCATTTACGAATGAGAGCTTTCGAATTCGATTTTCATCTAAAGTTAATTCGAACCAAATTGTTATGTCTAGATCATTTTGAAGCAATTTACATTTCAAAATTCAGTGAAATTAAATTCGAACTAAATTATTGTTGATAAGTGATTCAGTTACTTTTCTATCGCAGAGTAGATAATAATATAGTAGGCATTAAAAGAAAAAGTGGATAGTAGTGATGCCTAATGACTTCGTGACAAGCCTTGATTAAAGTGCCCTTGTGTTCTCACCCCTGCTTTCTCAACTTTTTACGCTTCTGCCACTGTTGTCGTCTGATCACCTCCTATACCTTATCTCCTTTGATGACAATTTTGCCCTTGAACTTGGGTTGTATTTGCTTTCATGCCCGGTTCCTTGTCCAACTTTCGTCTCTTGTGTGTTGCTTCCTATTAGGTTAACAAGCTTAAAATTGAAAAAAAAAAAAAAAGATGCCCACTCTATTTACCCATTTACTCTTAGAGGCTTTAGAGGGATCAGATACATCTACACATTTACTAAAAAAAGTCTCTCTCATTGTTGGGGTTGATTTTAACTTTATTTTTTGATATATTCAACTTACTAACTTTGATTTCAATGTAATAAGCTTGAGTTTTTGAGTTGAGGCATCATACAAATCATAATGAAGGTGGATATTGAATCGGTTAACTAGTGAATCAAGCAAAATCGTGCTGAAAAAACATTAAAGATCAGTTCAATTCTTGATTTTTGTCACGTAAATACTGAAGCAAATCAATTATTGGGCATTTTATTTAAAAAGCAAAACCAATTGTAGACAAGTCTCTCTTTGCCACTTTCTTAAATTCTAATCCGCCCGCCCTCCCCCAAACTAAATAAAACCGATAGACCATAGTTGAAATTAAACTCACCAAATTATATTGCTTAGTTGAAATTAGAGGTGGAGTCAACCGAATTAGAACATAAAACAAATGAAACGCAAGTTTATGTGTTCATATCTTAAAAGCTAGTGTAATTAGATTATTATTATATTTTACAAATTTTTCATTCGCGTGTTGATGATTTTAATTCCAAATTCTCAAAGTATACAATAGAACAAAATTCATCCATCAACATTCAAACCCCAATCTATGTTCCAAAAACAGAGAATAAAAAATCACTAAGCCGGCAACCAAACAGTGGTTAAGATTCCAGAACAAAAAACACGGAGAGCAAATAGCCAATAGGATGGAATGGAAGATAGCACGATGCCAACGATGGCATTGGCACCTCCTACAAGTTCCTATCATTGGCCCTTCTCTCTTTACCAACTCTTTTGACTACTGGTCCTCCCAATCGCAATTTTGGAAAAGTACGGGGCATCTAATGCCATTTGGTAGCAAGTGGTCTAGTGATAAAAGTGCAGACTGCGACTCTTTGATAAACAAAAATATGCGAGAGGTTTCGGGTTTAGTGCTTTGAGCTGGTGAATTTATTTAACTATAGTTGTGGGCAAGGTAAAATTCTCATAACCTCTCTAAACTCTCGGAAAGAAATGAATAAATGTGGCTTGCAATTGGTTGTTCTCTTTTTAAAAGAACAGAAAAATGCCATCTGGTACAAAGCACCAAAGGCTGACATGTCAAAGAATGAAATTACACCCCCATGCAAAGGGTACTTTTGTCACTAAAAAGTACAGCCAAACAAACGCATAGAGTTAACGAATTGGCGACCATAGCGTGTGGAATTTGCCTACCAGGCATCGGATGGATCGGGATGTCAAACACCAAACGAAAGTTAGACAAAAAAGCAGCTACTTCTGCTCAGTGGGAGTAAATCTTTACGGCCCTCCGTTGGTAATTTTTCCGTCCACATAAAACACGTTTACGCGATGTTATTCAGTTTAATTGCTGTGGGAAATCATTTTAAGCCTTAAACAAATCAGTTTGATCGATAAAAAGAGATCAAGTGGTGATTTTGCCAATTATTTTAGAGTTAAAAATAAAAAAGACTCACAGAGACATACCTATTGTTCATAAAACTTCACCTAAATATTTTTATTCATATTTTTATGAGTAATGCTACAATTATTAGCTAGTTGTACTATTTTTTGTACTATCTTTTTAATAGAATTAAGTCCCGCCATAACATGTAGATTTTGTATTTATTAGAAAGATAATATAAATGATGGTTGAACTAGAAAATAAGAGTAGCATTTTTGTATTTTTATACAAACAAATTATATAACATTTGGTTTTGTTTTTATTTTATTTAAAATTTAAAATATAAAATTTTATATTTTCCCCTGGGTGGATGTTTTGGATAGAGATAATGGCCCGTGCGAGCAAGACATCTCTAATTTGCTACCACCATATTCTTGCAAAACTTCTCTCGCAGTCACAGATTCTTCTTCGTTCTTCCTAGTTCTAAATGTCCATGAGTCATCCACACTTGCTAGCTTCTTCTTCTTCTTCTTCTTCCTCTTCTTCCACTACCAAACTTGCTACTTCCACCATTACCTTTATTCCTTATGATGTTTTCAGTGCTTCTTCTCTGCATAGATCTCTCCAGCTGGTTGTGCTCAATAGTCAAACGTTAGCAAACAAAACCCACATGCTCGAACTTGTTCTGGTATGATTTCACGAAGGAGTTCTCTGTTGGTTTGATTACCAAATTTGGAATCTTTGTTGTCCCATTTGCTTGTTTTGGGCTTTGGTCGGTGGCTGGAGAGAATAATCAAATCAAATTCTTCTTAGAAGTTAGAAAAACCAGACAGAATCTTGGGATTCTCTTGTTCTTCTTGGGTGCGGTGGAAGTAAATTCATTGTCTTCTCGTGGTTTTGGGTGTCCTGTTTCTGCCTGCTGCTGCACACCCGAATTTGAAGTTATTTGGGTGTGGATAAGGGTAACTTCTACCGACACACATCCTACCAAGAATCCCAAAATCTACCTGGCTGCAGCGGATTCAAAGTCGGTGGGTTTGTTTTCCAAGCTTGGAATTTTACTTCTAAATGTTGGGTTTTGCTGGACAGTTCCTGTAGATTTGATAGTTGGTGTCTCCCTCTCCCTGTCTCTCTCTCCACTCTCTCTCTCTCTCTCTCTCTCACTGTTTGTAGTTAATTTGCTTGGTTTACTGTGGTGGATGAGTGTTTTCCATGTATTTGGGTTCGGTTTAAAGGTGGGGCATATGCTTTGGATGCTATGTTGCTGGATTGTATCTGTAATTTCCATGAACTGGTACCTTACTGGTGGGATTGTGACAGACACCAAGGCAGGATTGCTTGGTGAAGTTGCCAATATGTGCCTCAAATGGTGGGAGAAAGTCCCAATGAACATCAGCAAGATCCGCTACCATTACTACCAGTATATCGGGTCGAAGAGAGTCCGAAAAACGTGGTGGAAGGGGCTTTTGTTTACGTGGGTGGTTGGATGGACAATTGGGAGCCTCTGGATCTTGTGGTACATGAGCTCACACGCTAGTGAGAAGAGGAAGGAGACTCTTGCAAGTATGTGTGATGAGAGGGCTAGGATGTTGCAGGATCAGTTTAATGTCAGCATGAACCATATTCAGGCCATGTCGATACTGATCTCGACATTCCACCACGGGAAGTACCCGTCTGCCATTGATCAGGTAAAGAGATCATCTTTCATCTTTGGGTAATTTTAGGATGGTGAATATGTTGGAATTGATGTTTGTCATTGGTGCTTTTGATGCATACAGGTTAATTGGTGTTTTATGTCGCTCAGTTTGATGTTAATTGGCCAAGTACCTGTCTGTTAATTAACTGTTTTGGCCACGTAACTGTCTTAGTTGATGCATTTTGTTCATGTGGGTATTTACTTGAAAACGTTAAATTGTTCGAATTTTGTAGCGGTTTCTCAACCGGTGTTAATTTGATATGCTTAGCTTGTTTTGGTTTCAGATATTCAGATCTGAGCTTTCTTTAGCTAAGATGCTAGTTATCTATTCGATAGAACATCCTAACTTTCGCAACCTGCAGAAAACTTTTGCGCGGTACACTGAAAGAACTGCTTTTGAGAGACCCCTCACAAGTGGCGTGGCATATGCTGTAAGGGTGCTCCACTCGGAAAAGGAACAATTTGAGAAGCAGCAGGGCTGGACTATAAAGAGAATGGATACCCTCGAACAAAACCAGGTTCATAAGAACGACTATGCCCCAGAAGCCTTGGAACCATCCCCAGTTCAGGAAGAATATGCTCCTGTTATCTTTGCACAGGATACCGTTAGACACATCATCTCTTATGATATGCTGTCCGGGAAGGTATTTCCTTATCTAGTTTCTGTCGTCAACTTGTACAATACAACTATACTGGTAGATCCAATCGAATTATATTATCTTAATTAAGCAGCATGTTAATTAGTGGTTGTCTAGGATCTTTCACTTTTATTTTGCAGTCCTGCTGTATCCAAAATCTAGATTATAGTACCTTTCTCTTAGAAACTTAGAAAGCTCTTCAACATTGTCTCATGTTATCTAGAAAAATTTGGTTTCCTGATTTGCGATCCTCAACCGTGAAGTTTCATTCATTTGCGTTGCAACAGGAAGATCGACAAAACGTGTTGCGTGCAAGAGAATCAGGAAAGGGGGTTCTAACTGCTCCTTTTCGGCTGCTTAAAACAAATCGCCTTGGAGTAATACTGACATTTGCTGTCTACAAAAGAGATCTGCCCTCAAATGTAACTCCAAATGAAAGAATTCAAGCGACTGATGGGTATGCTTTCTATGAATGAGAACATGTTAATATTAAGAATGTAGTGCAAGTTTTCTGCCGATAAAAAGCATATTCACAGTCCTTTATGGTATCGTCAAGGCCTTGAAGTGCTGTCAGCAGACAGGAATTGCTGTTAATGCTAAACTCGTAATATTCAGAGTGGTCATACTTTCGAAGTTTTTTAATCCTGTTGTTCCTGCCAACCAGGTATCTTGGTGGAATCTTTCATATTGAGTTACTTGTGGAGAAGTTACTTCAACAACTTGCTAGCAAGCAAACCATCCTTGTGAATGTGTATGACACTACCAATCAGTTGCATCCAATCAGCATGTACGGTTCAAATGTTTCAGATGATGGATTGCAACACATAAGCTCCTTAAGTTTTGGAGATCCCTTAAGGAACCATGAGATGCGGTGCAGGTAATCATCTAGTCTTGTGCTCTTATGTTATATGCCTCTTCTTGGTCTCTGGTAACGGGTCTAAGTTTGTATCACTTATTGTGATCACACTATTTCTGAGGCACCTAGGCATCTAGAAAGTCTTGTAGAACTTTATTCAGAAGCCAAGTTTATTTTTTATGCAGGTTCAAACATAAGCCACCATGGCCGTGGTTAGCCATTACAACTTCTTTTGGGATCCTTGTGATTGCATTGCTTGTTGGATACATTTTCCATGCAACTGTAAATAGGATTGCCAAAGTGGAGGATGATTTCCGTAAGATGATGGAGCTCAAGAAACAGGCTGAGGCAGCTGATGTTGCCAAATCTCAGGTACTTTCTGACTTTTGTTAATGCAGGAAAAATTTGTTTGGAATTGTACTATTCTTGTGCCTAATCACGTCTTAATCCTATGTAGTTTCTTGCAACTGTTTCACACGAGATCAGAACCCCAATGAATGGTGTCCTAGGTGAGTTCGTGAGACTGCTGCCGTTATTTGTTTAAAATCATGTCCCTGCATTGCTCAAAATTTTCGAGCAAAACTACAGCCAAAAGAGCTTGCTGAACATTGACAGTTCTGTTCCTTTTCAGGAATGTTACATATGCTAATGGACACAGATCTGGATGTTACTCAACTAGATTATGTCCGAACTGCCCAGGGAAGTGGAAAAGCTCTTGTCTCACTTATTAATGAGGTGTTGGACCAGGCAAAGATTGAATCTGGTAAGCTGGAGCTTGAGGCGGTGCGTTTTGACCTGCGAGCTATTCTGGATGATGTTTTGTCACTCTTTTCAGGGAAGTCTCAAGAAAAAGGAGTAGAGGTAAATACACCCCCGGCACTTCCCCGGAACTTTTTTTATGTGTGGTTTTCTGCTTCAAGTTTTCATGGTCTAATAACTGAACTTTTGAAATTTGCATGACCAAATTTTTGGAGAGAGCAGTTGGCAGTATACATCTCAGATCAGGTTCCCGATATGCTTATTGGTGATCCCGGAAGGTTTCGGCAGATTATCACCAATCTCATTGGGAATTCAATCAAAGTAAGTGTCTAGTTGGTTCTCAACTCTTGGTTAAAATGATGAGATTTTGTTAAATATGGGAAATGAATTCTATTTAACTAGAATTCACAAAATATTAGGACGGGGAAGAAACTAAGCGATGCTGTCTGCTTTCTGTATAAATAGTTCTGAAATTGATTATTTTATTTACAGTTCACAGAGAAAGGACACATCTTTGTCACGGTTCATCTTGTCGAGGAGCTGATTGGCTCGATAGATGTTGAGACTGAATCATCATCAAAGAACACCTTGAGCGGTTTCCCTGTAGCAGATAGACACCGCAGTTGGGGAGGATTTAGGTGTTTTGGTCAAGATGGATTGACGAATCAATTCTCATCCTCCTCTGACCTCATCAATATTATTGTATCTGTTGAGGACACAGGAGTAGGAATCCCTCTAGAAGCACAATCTCGTGTTTTCACTCCTTTTATGCAGGTGGGACCATCCATCTCACGTACACATGGAGGCACAGGAATTGGGCTAAGCATAAGCAAGTGTTTGGTTGGCCTCATGAAAGGGGAAATCGGGTTTGTGAGCATTCCCAAGATTGGTTCCACATTTACATTTACTGTTGTTTTCACCAATGCCAGCTCCAATTCAAACGAGTTAACAATCCAGCAAATGAACAGCCAGTCAAATGTTGCATCCTCAGAATTTAATGGCATGACGGCATTAGTAGTGGACCAAAGACCTGTTAGGGCCAAGATGTCAAGATATCATATCCAACGGCTTGGAATTTGTGTTGAAGTAGTTTCTGATTTGAATCAGGGTTTATCTAGCATAAGCTCTGGGAATACCACCATCAATATGGTCCTTGTTGAACAGGAAGTCTGGGACAAAGATTCGGGCACCTCAGCTCTCTTTGTCAATAATTTACGGAAAATTGATGGACAGGTTCCTCCGAAACTGTTCATTCTCACCAATTCTATAAGCTCATGCAGAATAAGTTCTGCAACTTCAGGTGTCTCTACCCCAACTGTCATCATGAAGCCTCTCAGGGCAAGCATGCTTGCTGCCTCACTACAACGAGCCATGGGAGTCGGTAACAAGGGAAATCTCCGGAACGGGGACCTCCCAAGTTTGTCTCTCCGCAATCTTCTGCTCGGGAGAATAATTCTTATTATAGATGATAATAATGTGAATCTCAGAGTAGCTGCTGGCGCTTTGAAGAAGTATGGGGCTGAGGTGGTCTGTGCAGACAGTGGTAAAAAGGCAATCTCACTGCTTACGCCGCCCCACCATTTTGATGCCTGCTTCATGGATATCCAGATGCCAGAGATGGACGGGTGAGTGATGCTTCTAGTTTAGAAAGCTTTCATTTTTGAAAACCTTACTGAAATGTCAGAGTATTAAAAAACTTGCTTTTTTGGCCTGTCTTACAAGTCAACTTGTATACGATGGTAGTTGTTTCTAGTTCATTCATAAAAAACTCACTTTCTGTTGCGTACTTGGCTAGTTTTTGGCCTCTAGATTTATATGTTCTATTTATTTCCCTCACAGGTTTGAAGCTACAAGGAGAATACGCAACATGGAATGCAATATCAGTAACCGTATTCAGCATGGCGAAGTTTCTGCTGGGGATTCTGAAAATATTCAAGCATGGCATGTACCCATTCTAGCCATGACTGCCGACGTAATTCAGGCAACCCATGAGGAATGTACAAGGTGCGGAATGGATGGATATGTTTCAAAACCATTCGAAGCTGAACAGCTTTATCGCGAAGTTTCACGTTTTTTCCAATCTACAACAACTGGGAGCTTGGAGTGAGGACTTGAATTGATGAGTTGCAGATGGCATAAGCTCAGGCACCGTTTCTCCAGGACACTGTAAATGGATCCAGAATTTTCCAGAGTAAGTTTTTATCGACAAAGATTTAGTTTGCGCTCGCTAATGCTCCATGTCTTTTCGTTGTGTTATATTAGAAGAAAATGTACGAAAAATGTGATGAAATCATCTTGAGTTCCGTCAGGAACTGACAACGCACTGCCCCACTGTCTAATTTTTCAGGAGAACATGTCTTTTGTCACACAGAGCGTATAAGGAGCCCTGCTCAATTACTTGGGATGCAAGTCAAATTTTCTTTTCCCTTGTATTTTTTCGATGAGCCAGATATCAAAGCCGGTTCATTCTCCTTGCACAGTTGATCCATCTCAAGAACCGATGACTTGAAATCCCGAATCATTTGGGGGTGAAATGGAAGCTCTGGGTTTGGATTCTGATTCTGATTCCGAGTTTAACGATAGAAGTTTGCATCGTTGAAGATATATGACACTTTTCTTAGCACCAGTGTACCATGTATAGATTGATTTGGCCGTGAGGAGGAACTTGGAGCTTATCCTGGGAAGATGTTGGAGGATCCACCGTGTACATTTGTAGAGTTTGATCAAATGTAGGATTTGATGTCAACTATATACAATGTTGGTAATTTCAGAAAATCTCATTATTTTTTGTCTGATTTGTACATTTCAAAGAATATGTTGAAAACATGCTTAAGAGTTAGGCCCATTCATGTCATTCGTAGCGGCATCTTGCACAGTATTTATTTTAGTTTTGTCCAAAATTAGACAACCTTGTTGAAATTCCGTTAATTTTGTCAATAATTTTAAGGAAAATTAATGAAAAAGGGTTTGAAAATTTTGAATTTTAACAATAAGGATAAAATAAAGGGTAAAGTGAATAGTATCAAGATTGATTTTTTAGTGTAAAAATGTGGTTTTTTGTTATAGTAAACAATACTGAGAGCTTTTCGTTAAAGTTCTCATTATTTTATCAAAGGGAGGGTTGTTTTGTTTCATTTTGTTTGGTTAAAGCCTTTGAATTTGCAATAGAAAGAAATCTCAATTATTATAAATCAGTTAATATAATTTCAGGTGTTTTATAATTCATGTGAATAAAGTATTTTGTTGACTATGCCTTTAAAAGCTGGTGAATTTTATGATGATGGTTAAAAATGTTGAAATGTCTCATGATCTCTCTTTTTCCGAAAAAGTAAATTGTCATGATGAATGTACAAGCTAATTCCTTTTATTAAAAACAAAAAAAAGGAAAAAAAAAAGCGACAAATAAAAAATTAGAAGTTTAAAATAAAAAACAAAAATAATAATAAACAACCAGCGTTAGTCATTGATAATTCAAAATTATAGTTTTAACTCCCCAACCCCCTGAAAAATCAATTAATTAAAAAAAAAAGATATAAAAACCTAGCCACTCGGTCGCAGCTTGTCTCAACAGCCCCGTATCCTTCCATTGCTTTGTTTTGCAGCAGTCCCTTCCAACAAATTTCACAGTCGAGTCTCCTCTGCGGCGCGGCGATCAGGTGCGACGGCGATGGATCCAGACGCACTTTCCAAGGCCTTCGTGGAGCACTACTACACGTTGTTCGACGCCAACCGCAGCGCCTTGGCGAATCTGTACCAGGAAACCTCGATGTTGACCTTCGAAGGTCAGAAGATCCAAGGGTCACAAAGCATCGTGGCCAAGCTCACCAGCCTCCCTTTCCAGCAGTGCCAGCACAGCATCACCACCGTCGATTGCCAGCCCTCTGGCCCCGCCGGCGGCATGCTCGTCTTCGTTAGCGGCAATCTCCAGCTCGCCGGCGAACAGCACGCTCTCAAGTTCAGCCAGGTCCAATATTCCTTAGTTTTCTAAATTCGTCTTTGCTTTAATCTTTTGCGGCGATTCTAGGGTTTTAGATGCGATTCATTTGCTGATCTGCTGCTAAATCGGCGTGCGATCGGTGGTTGTGGCGATTTGATTGTCGTTGCGTTTCTGCTGGTGCTATGAGCAGGATTATGAGTTTTCTTGGCTATGATATTAGGGATTTTGGCTTCCGTGATCGAAGTTTAGTCCTCGATCTACTCGAAACTCGAGTATGCAAATCCGATAGTGGAACTGGCATCATTGATTGACTGTGATTGGTTAGATTTATCAGGTGTTTTTCTGTATGTGATTTTGATTTGTGGACCTTATGATTATACTCATGCGATTTATTTAGTGCTTGTGTGATTGTAATTTCAGTCGGATTCAGCCGTGTGTGCTTATGCAAGTTTCACTCTGCGGATTACTCGCAGAGATGGACATTTGTAGCTTCGAGTATTCTGATTCTGTTTCTTTTACAATGTGTTTGATTTGAGCTCACAGTGGATTTTATGCTCGTTCAGTGTTTCTTTCTGTTTATGCACACCAATTGAAGATTATTAGTTGATTTAGCAATGCCTTTTGTTATTAATTAGATATGGCTTCTGCTGTAAAAGGGGGGGAACAAATGCACATTGTAGATGATGTTGAACCGTCTGCATAAAAGTGCTGTTTTCTCTGTTGAATTCTTAGTTTTGACTAAATGGTTGTTTCATTTTCATGTGGCCTAAATTTTGGTGGATAGGTCCACAAAATTCTCGTTTTCTAATTTCACGTTAGAAAGTTTTACATTGTCTCGTTATGTATTTTGGATTTCATGTTTGGTATTTATTGTTTGGAATTCTATTTGTGTCTATCCATTATCTCTCTTGCCTTTAATTGCTTTGTAGGTAATGTGAAGGGTCTCGTATCACCTTTTGCTTTATGGGCACCCATTTTACAAGGATCTTGGACAACGTGTAGTGATTTACAATTCGAAACTGCTTGATTTGCTATTCTTTTCAAGAAAGTTTTTCGCAGTTGCGAACTGATAGATAAAAACTTGGGATGGGTGTACTTGACCTAAGAGTGCTAATTAAGTTGGTCCCTTTGGTTTTCTGATTCAATCGTGATGTGTCATTCACTGACTGACATTTTGTGATTCTGCGGTATATATTCATTTCTTAGGCATATAACTGTGGCTACTTTCTGCTTGCACTCAGCCATCATCTATGATATCCAGTGATAGAACTCCAGAATTAATTTTCTTTCCCGCTCCCCTCCCTCTTGCATTGGGATATAACAGTGTGTTTGCATGAGCCCCATTAGGGATAAGAGCTCTGTTCTGCGTCTTCTTGTAGTCTTGCATGCCTTGTTTATCATTATAGGCGTATAGGCATGGCCATTGCTACCTGCTGCTTGTATTAACATTATGAGCTGTCTTCTGGTGTTGTCATCATCACTTTGCTTGATCACGATGTCAACAGCTTTTCACTTATGCAAAACCATTACATGTGTACTAGGTCGCGTTTTAAATTTTTTTTATGCGGGTGTATTTTTCAGATAACTGATTAAATAATTCCAAGTTTCCCGAAATTGTTCTTAAACCTGTTGCAATTGCGTATTCTACGATGTTTACTTATTTTAGATAGAGGGTCTTGGCCTGTGTCTGTCTTTTATCGATTCCAATTTCTATGTGGTTTACCATTTATGTAGGATTTTGAAGATCTTGAAATATTCATCTTTGCAATGTAGTTTACTCGTTTTTGTTTCCCATCTGCAGCCAGCTTTTACCTAACCATAGTTCTTTATTTCGTTTCCAGATGTTCCATCTGATGCCGACTCAACAGGGAAGCTTCTACGTGCTCAATGACATTTTCCGGTTGAACTATGCGTGAAGACAAGATTATGAACCACATTTCAACAAAAGGGTGGGATTATGTGTGGCCTCTCTCTGTTGCCCTGTTATTGTTTAGTTTCTAGGGATCTGAAATGGAAAGTATGAACGTTCTTTCGGTCCTTTTCGGTTGGTGATGTGTTTAGTGTTGTTGAATGTGGTTTTTGTCTCTTAAAAGTTTTAGAAATTTGAAATATTGTTATTGGTTAAATTGATGATGTTAGCTTACCGGATAATTGTCTAAATGAATACAGTTATTGGAGGTTTGAAAACGAGATCTGTTTCTTTGCTCCAATTACTCTTCCAATATGATTTTGTGAAGGGGTATTGTTTTGCTGAAATATCTAGTAATGGGTATTATTATAGTGAGATTTTTTGGAAATGCTTTTAAAATGACTGAAAGCGTTTTTGGTGGAAATGTTTTTGGAACACTTCTAAATGAGTCATTTATTTGGTTTTCTAGCTTCCCTTTCCAACAAGTTATGTTGGGTTAAGTTCTGGATAACTGGCCGAACTGCCCGACTCGGATCCAACCCGCATTGGAATGCATAGGCATCACATAGGCATCATTAACATCGCAGTGTGCATATGTATTATTACTTTTCGCTACTATAAAGCACCATCTGCAGTTTGGCCGATTTGGTTCAGTTTTCTCAATTGTGCAAGGGACGTTCGACCGTGTCTTGTTGAACCCAGGCAAAGATCATGCTAAACAACGTCATGATATCATGAAAGCATCAACCAAATGAGCAGTAGACTCCTTGCAAAAATGTCAAGGTCACCACTTCACCAATTCCACGCACATAACTGGCGCCACCGATTGCCTGAGCTCTAGCCCTGCCGGCGACATTTTTGTCAGCGGCGAGATCCAATTTTATCTTTCTTGCATTCTTTTGTGGCGGTAATAGGTTTTGTTAATCACCATGTAACCCTGTGATTCTTTGCTTCTTCTGTTGCTAAGTAGATGAATTTCCAAATAAGAGTCGTCGTAAAACTTGGTATGATTATGGTTCTCCTCTCGTTAACTTTCAATTATCTATTTAATCAAAACCGTTCATTGACAATATCACAACAATCTCAAACACACTCACTCGTTCCGTTTAGTAGCATACAGGTTGACGCATATACTGAAGCGACTTACAAAATTACGACAAGAAAAAGTTCTGCACGTCAAATTATGATTTGTATGTAATAAGAAGAAACAAAAAGCTAAGGAGCCAAGTAATTTTCGAACGGGACTCACGCAACTCTAGCAAGTATATTCACAGTTTGTTCTCAAGCAGGCAAACGCTCTTTGAGCTTTCCTTTGTCAATGGTTTGGTATTGCTGTACTTTGAAAAAAAACTGTTTCTGCTGTACTGTGAGAATAAACTCAGCTTTATTGCTTCACGTTTTCAGTTTTTTTTTACCCAAAATTGTGAAAATAAGTTGTTTTTAAGTGTTTACCAAACACATTTTTAAGTTCAGTTTTTTTTTTTATATCCACTTTTTATAAAAGCACCTCAATACCAAACCAGTACATAGAAGCTTCAAAGATGTCAACATTAACAACAACATTATACCTAAATTATATTCAATGTTATTCTCGAATTTGAACCGGAGCAGGCGAAAAACAAAGCAGGCAACACACGATCGACTCTTCTTTTTTGTCGAAAAGTTCAATGCTTTTCACTTAGATTAACATCTGGTAAGGGGAACTCAGGTATTTTGAGGGAAGGGAGGAGAAGGAGACTCACTCCGGTGGTGTTCTTCCGAGTCCTTCTTCTCCTTCAGCATCCCTCCTATCCATCGAAAGGGGTTTCTGATTCCGTCTTTGAGTTTCCAAATCATAGTCATCTCAGAGGCTTGCCAGGCGACAGTAAGCACAATCATGACCGAAAGCAGCCACTGAATGACGCTGTTCTGTTTCTGCACCTTGTTTAGTTCTTTCACAATTCGTTCCGTATCAGTTTCAGCCCCACCGCCATCATCCCCATCCACTCTGCCACCGCCCTCTCTTTGCGGCTCCAATTCCCCATCTGCGGAGGGTTTGGTTGAAGATTTGGGTGGTTGAATCCCGTCATTAGCTTTCAATGACTCCAACTGTCATTAGAAATGAGAGTAGATTGAATTTTGAACAATACTCACTCACTCTCATCTCGACAGATGAAACTGTAACGGTATCTCAAAACAATCATGCACTTTTTCATATGTCAATGCCATGCGTACTTTTTTCACATGAGAGTGTAGGAATTAATACCGTCACAGTGACATCCCGACTCTAATCTCTATGAAATTCGATAACCACGGCATATTCTAATTTCAATCCAAAATATTAGTGGGGGGCAACAATTTGAATAAGATTCATGAACTTCTATTGCAAACCTTCCACACGAAACAAAGAAACGAATCCGAAACGAGGGAAATAGATAGAGAACTAGTGGATATGGCCCGTGATCTGACCTGAGAGAGCAATCGGTGGAGGAGGCGGCGGTCCTCATCTTTATCATCATCATCACCGCCTTGTAAAACGCCGTCAGCGGAGGAGGCTTCGCTGTTTTCGCTCTCCTTTAAGAGCCTCTTGATTGCCACGTTGATCAGCTCCAAGTTTTCATCTTTCGAATCCATGGCTTAAGTTAAGATGCAATATCTCACACAGAAAGAGAGAGAGAAGGAAGGAAGACACTCATGAAAGTCTCGAACCGTTTTCGTTTATTCCATCCAGATTTGACCAACGAGTTGCCAGTGGAATTACACGTGGCACTTTAACCTACGAGTGGCAGACATGCAATTATAGTCACAGTACTCTACTTCAAATATTCAATCGTTACCGCAGCACGTTTTGGGTTTGATTTGTGATGCTGATAAATCGTCACCACTCGTCTATTAATACCCTTGTTAAAACTTGAATAGTATAACGTCGTATAGATTTGGAACATGATAACGAGCATGCTATACACGTATTAGATTTCATTGCAAAAAGTAGTTGCACAATACATGCTCTGATCATAATCGTATTGTCCACGTATTTGGCTTTAGTAGCAGCTATAATGACAGTTTGGGTCAATCCATCACTTTGGGGAAGGGAGGGCAAGATTTTCTCCGAAGAGAGGCCGAATATTTGAAAACAAATGGTCATGATTCATCAAACATCATCTCTTCACATAAACCCAGATCAGATCAGATCATTATGCACAAACTGAGAACCCATAAAACATCTACCATTTATCAGCAAGATTTTCGCCAACCTAGAATCACCACATGTTGCTTTGCTTCTACGGAAATAGGTACATATCAATGTCGTCTACACTTAAGTCATCTTCACCGGAATGTGGTGTGTCTGCTTCAGCACCGAAACCTTCACTGCTTGTGCCTCCTAGTTCAGCCTGCAAGAGAAGCATATATCTTCTGAAATTAACTAAACCCAAGTCCATGGTACGCTCCGTCACCAAAGATTAGTTGTTTGTTTGCTTACCTTAGCTTGATGGTACCTCGTCAGCATGCGATGATATTGCTGGCGTGCCTTAGGAGACTCGACCATGGACAGCACGCGCGAGACTGCCTCCTCAATGGCTACATTGACTTTTTGTTTGCGGAACACCTTGAGAATATCTTCATCTTCACTTTCTTCATCGGTCTGTGTCTCCTGCCGAAAGCCACGCAAACCAGCTCCTTTCCTTCGCCACCTTAGTACAACCTTGTCCAGAATTCCAACAGCCCAGCAAATTACCTTGTAGTGCTTCCTCACCTGATAACCTCTCACATGCGCCTGCCAAGACAAAAAAATTTGATACTTCATTTTACTAACTGGAAGAACATCAATATAATGAACTTATATGCGGGCGTTGCATCTCGTTAAAATGAAAAAGGTAAATAAAGAAGAGGACTTCTTTTGTCCAAAGGTGAGGTACCTGTATCTTCACAACTTTCTGGCGGAGAACGAGGAAATCTTTGCGGCCTTTATACCCACGATATTTCTTTTGAATAGATACTGCAGCTGAATTGTAATCACGCGGATTGCGAAAGCTTAGCTTTGAAAACGCTGAAAGCCCTGCAATGTCATCTGAACTGATACCATAGTCATCTATACTAACACCAGCTTCTTTCAGTTGCCGTTTTCTGAAAGAATGCGCTCGGAAAGCAGACTGTATGCGTGCTGCAGCCTGGGCTGCATTCCGGACTGCAGCCAAGGTGTTTTTAAGTGACTCCTGGTCCTCACTGACCTCGAGGCTTCTATTTGAGATGCTGTTTACTGTTATTTCTGCTTCAACCTCAGCTGAACCTTTGGAAAGCTCAGTTTCTTCCAGTGTAAGGGAGGACAGATGGCTAGTCAGTGACAGCTCTGAAAGATAACCTGCAAGTCCCTTATGCCCATTGATGGCTGCAATAGATGCCGCAGTTCTTCCAACTGGATCTTGGGAACTGGGATCTGTCACCGCTCCAGCTGATGCACCAGAAGCTACAAGTACGGCAACCATCTTTTCCCTGTTAACATTAAGAAAGTTTCAACGATCCACATTGCACAACAAGGGATAGCCTATTTCAGATTAAACAAATCCAAAAGTTCTGCTGAGTAATCACCCTTAATCCTAATGGTATGCCGATGCACAAACAAATCTGACCTAATAATACCAATGACATCATTACGTGTTGATACTTTATTTGTACACAGATGACAACCCATATGCATTACCCCCTTTGCTACTTTTTAACAAGCAATAACTCAAAGAGAAAAGGAAGTTTCATTACCTTCCAAAACGAGCAGCCCAGTGTAGAGCAGTCCATCCGTTTATGTCGCGGAAATTTATATTGACTCCACAATTTAGTATCTGGTTTAAGGCCCACTCAAATCCCAAACCAGCAATCATGTGTATTATCCCTTGCTCTTTCTTGGACAAGCAACAACCATACTGGTCAAATTCATGGGATCTGGAAGAAAGCCATTGCTGCAACTTGTCTTTCAGTAGCTCTTCCAAAAGCCAATATATGGTAGTAGATGAACTTCCATTGCCGAGTAACAGGGATTCAATGATAGTACCCCATGAATCATCATCAGCTTTCAATTTCCTCAAGGACTCAGACCCAGCACTGTCCCTTTTCTGCGCTGATGAATCATACGTAAGCATCTGAACGAATCTAAGTAGTAATAACAGCTCTTCAGCACTCTTAGCAGCTTCTTGTGGAGGTGAATTATTGTGAGTATAGCTACTGCTCTTCACTCGATATTCAAACTCCCTGACTTCACTGCAAGACACCCGATTTCCAGCAGTAATGCAGACAGTAATCTTTCCTGGAAGGTGAGGAGGAGCTTCACAACGGATTACACCTTCCTGAATGATCTGAGCAGGGACTTCAACGTCACCAAACATACAAGTCCATGCAGATTCTGATGGATCACACAGAAAAGATCCAATAATGATGACCTGCATCAAGCAAAGTAGGTTTTTAAGCATTTTGAAAATAAATAATATATCCAAAGGAGAATGTATGACATTAGAATTTTGTTATAAAGTAGAAACCGAAACCTAGTGGGTTCTGCACTGTTGGAAACTTAGCACCATAATAACTGAACAAAACCAATACTGTATAACCCCCTCCCCTTTAAAATGGACATAGGAAAGTACCCACTACCCATAAACATGACTAATTTTAATTGTTGTTTCTTCCGCTGATCACAGTGTGATGGATTGCATTTAAAATTCAAACTCTTTATTTTCTCAGGAAAATGTAAGATTAAAATGTCAAGTTAAATTTCTAGAGTTGAGGATATTTGGTTTTTGAAAGGGCTTTGATACTTGTATCTGTAACTCTGATAATGGGTCATCGAGTTCTGGACCTATAACTCAAACTTTAGTTTTGAAGCATTAGAAGCACCTGGTAGAAAATATTTGCGCTAGTATGATAAAACTGAGAACAATCATACCTTTGTCGCTTCAGTGGCATAACCCCACTCTGGAGATATTTCCTGAACTGTAAACTTTTGATTTTGTGCAACAGTCAAACTAATATCAGATTCAAGAGATCCTATCTGGCCTTGCTCAAACAACTGTGTATAATAGTCCGAATGTGTTCCAGTCACAGAAGAATACGGAGAAAGCTTGAAACTGTCAACTTCTTGCGGCAGTAGCAAGGAATCTGGTTACAGGTGAAGCTTGTTAGAGTCTGAAAATTACTCAATAAATGCAAAACGAAGAATTAAAAGAGATTTTCATAACGAGAAAAGGATATCATACAATTGTCAACAATGTTTCCATTGGAATTTAGCCACTGACAATGCTCCTGCACTTCAGTTGGTCCACTCAAGGAAGACAGCGGGTTTTCCTGATCCAATTGGGAAAAAACAACAAATTAATGGCTCAATAGTTAAAAGGACAACTACGCAAATAACATAGAGAGGTTATTGCCACAATAGACACACAGGACCAAGTTATGCATAAAAGGCAAACAAAGCGGCCAAAAGCCATTAACAAATTCATCTGAGTAAAGGTGTAATAAAAGTGCAAAATAAAACAGAATACTATGACCTTTTTAGCAACACTCACATTTCTGTCCAATGTATATAAAGATTTCTCCTCGGACTTTAGGACCGATGAAGTCTTGTGTGGATCCAGAAACTCTTTCCAAGTAGCAGATTCTTTGTTACCGTCTCTGATTTCACGGTCATCGATTTGATGCTCACCACTATAGTCAGCATTACCTTGCATCTGAGCAGGTTCATTGTAGAATTGATCATGTACAACATATTCGGGTCCATTGAAGGCATTAAATTGATCCTGATTGGCAATATCACCATAGTCCAGGATATCTAAAGCATTTGGATTATCATCCACAAATCCTTTGAAGCTGTCCTCATCTAAGCTTAATTGCTCTTCAAGCTGCCGCAAAGCTTGATTAACATCCAACTTAGTCAAACTATCTAACTCCCCCGTTCCATATAAATTTTCTGGGTTCTCCCTTCCATTTTCCTTGATGACTATATCTGAACTAACTTCTAGTGAACCTGGACTGGATAGATTCTGATAAGGTTCATGTAAATCACTAACAATGGAGATAGAGCCTGGACGAGTAGTATTAGAGCTCGGACTGTGGCTAAAGGAAGAAGATACTGGTGATTGTACGAAAGATCCAGTACTCGGCTTGCCCTGAAATGCATAATTGTGTAAAAAACTATCACAACCTGGTGAGGGGAGAGAGTGAATTCATGTGAAAAGAAGTAGTGAGATATGCCTGGTTTATGATCAGGTTCTGAAGACTCACCTCATTAGTTTCTCTATAATGCACAAGAACAATGTGCTCATATGCCCTGTAAAAAAAATTATCTATTTTGTAAAGAATCTCTTCAGGGAAATGCACTCAACAATAATTGCAAGGGTACTCACGGATCTAGCATCCAATAGCTACGTCTCTGAAAACTTGGGTTGTCCTCTCCATGTGCGTAATAACAGTTTAAAGTTTCGACATTTCCAACCTATGCATATGAAACTTGGTTACTCAAGCTGGAATATAAGACTACATTGGCCTCAGTAGTGCAAACAACATTAGCTTAGTGCAACAACATAAAGGGAGGAAAATAAAACACGATTTTTTTAACACTAGAAACCATTCCATCGGAATGCTGAACCATCCAAAGACTCCAGACAGATGAATTTTATCATTTTATAACTACCCGAGAAAACAAATAACAGTCATGTGTAATAAGGACATACCTTTTCACAAAAGAACGCATTCAGTGTAACTAAATAGACAGCGTTAACAAACCTTAAGCCGTTCGTGTGCTTCACCTACGGTTCGTCCATCCTTCTTTTTGCGCCATCGGTGCCCATCTCTCCGAAAGAACCGAAGGATCCTCTTGTTAAAAAGAAATAAAGATCCACCTGTTGGAAAATCCAAAAGAAAAAGATGTAAGGATAAATGGATTCAAAATCTAGTGGACGCAACAATGCCACTAAGCCATGCCATTACAGTACAATAAGAAGAACACACAGGAGACATACTACTAGGCTGTTGCGCGGGCACCGTTGCGAACTTATACTTGTCATGGTTCTGCAATATGAAGAGCACTTCAGCAGGCTTCAGCCAACGGGCTTGCGCTTCTTGAAACAGATCATTGATGTTATATCCTGAGACATCATATGACATAGACAATGTCAAACAGTTTCCAATTGACAAGACAAACACAAATTTGAGATCACTAATATTTGTAATAAAATTGTTGTTTGCAGCAGGAAAGACTACTTCATGCAGAGAGAAATTCACCAACAAAAGAAGTTCAAATTTCGATGGTTATTAGTTATTTCGGTGCATAAGCAAACTTTAATCAAACTCTAAACAGGCCCAAATTTCCCTAATTGTAACACGAAAAGGGGCAGAAAATTTCCAATCTTCAACATAATCATAGCATTTTCGTACTCAAAATTCAATAAAAAATTGTAAAGTTGGTATTTTTTTTTTCTGGGTACATGTGAACATGCTCAGTGGCCGTACATACCTGATTGCATCGTGATCAGCTGCCGAAAAATCAAAAACTGACGAACTGCAGAGAAAGCGTTTGACTTGCGGGCATTTGAAAACCGGGGGCGGTCGGCGGAGCAAACTCGAGAGTCGAAGTTTGGACTTCGGAGAAAAAGAGACCGGAATCTCGGTTGTGAACCGGATCGCAGGTGAGCAGAGTCCCGTTCGCCTTGTACTCGAAAGGAAAAAACCCGACAGAGACAGCACGATCAAAGACAATAAAGACAAAGTGTGCCAGGATGTCGTCAGAGAGGACGAAGGGTGTAAGTAAACAGGAGCGAGTTATCTCCCGCGCCCTGTAACTGCGAAGCTTCCTGAATCCTCATGAGGTGCCAAAATACTATTGCCGAGCTCCGGAGTCATCGAGGTCAACATGTACGGACGAAAGTACTACCAGCAGCTGCCGAGAAGTAGAGGAACAAATATGGGTAGGTGGAGGCCACAAACGTTGTTGTCGCTACCCGAAGGGTATCATGGTCATTTTAGTACTGCTGACCGCTGATGCACATATTGTTTTTAGACCATCATAACAATGGAAAACGTGGAAGAGGTGCCCACAGCCTTGCCGTGATCGCATTACCCGCCAACAGATTCATCTTTTGCTCTTTGGATATGTTTGGGACTGAAATTCCCCACTAGGGCCCCTACCCAGACTCGGATTGAGACTCAGAAGGATGATGATACTCTTCAAACATAATACAGCCACACAAATTACGGGTTTCATAAAAGAGAAATGTTACAGAGATTTTATATTTTTAATGAATTTTTTGTCACTTCATAATTTAACGTTAATTTTTGTACCAATATTATAAAATATTGTGTAACAAATATGAGATGTTGAAGAATTTATTATAAGTCCTACTTTTGAGAGTCCCCTTAACATTTTCTATCATAAAAATGAGAGACTGCCTAATTGACGGCAATCGGTCTCAAAAGTGGGGATTGTATGTTTTTGAGAAAAGACACACACATAAACTGTGAGTGTAATACTAGAATATTGAATTTATATAGTAATCACATTAATAGTAGGGCAGAAAGTTAAGTGTGATACCAATACAATAAATTAACGAAGTCAATATATTAAACTCATGAGTTTGATACTTATAAACTAATTTTGTAAAAACGTATGACTCTCATAGTTATTAAACACACACTAGTATTGTAGTAGCGTTATAATACTAGGTATTACACACACTCAAACTATTGTAGAATACCTTATAGTGATAATTGCTTATTGCTTACAAGATGCAATCCAAGAGTATATTCCATGTGAAGAGGCCATGCAAGGAGAAATTTTAAGAGTTAAGTCGCATTACCACGTTGTTATATTATTATAATAGGAGTGGACAAGACAATTGATATGATACTAGAATTCTTGTGTGGAGCTAACGACCACTAACTGAATTGGAAATTGATATGATACTAGATTATCCCAAGCTGAAAACGAAGCTCTTTACCAATCACAAACTATTGCCGGCGGCTTGCGTTGCGATTTTGACAGGCACTCTATTTCGGGCAAAATAGTTAACATACCAAACAAATAGTGAGCCAAAAATGAGACCAAATTAACATCAAGGACGTGGAGATATTATATTTCATGATTCTTTATATATCCAGAACAGGTCAATTTGTTGAGAGGTCATAAATTGAGTGGGTTCTTGGTTATCTTTCGAATGTTCAAACACGATGATGCAAGACAGAAAACATGCCAACAGGATCCTTTCCGGATCATTTTGGTGAGAATTCTGAGGATTCATGAATCTTGTCCGTTTATCGTATATCGTACGGTTAGTTTTTGTCAAGTACTGTTTGTGTTTAATTTTAAATAATATTTAAAATAATTTCTGACCGCATGATGCACGATGAATTGACGAGATTGATGGATCTCTGGGATCCTTACAAAGAGGATCCGGTAAGGATCCGGATTCGAAAACATGGGCACACCATTTGCACAAAACTATTATAGTATATATTAGTAGGTGTTGGAACTGCCTAATAAGCCTACTTAGTATGTTCATCATCGAATTAACTTTATGATCAAGGTGAAGAAAGTCATGGTTCCACCATAAAATCGATGGACAATATGGAGAGTAGTCAAACTTTATAAGTTTATGCAATGTCTCTTCTCCCATTAATGTGGAATTCATTATCAACACGAGAATGTTTTACATGTGGTCTAATGTCCCAATAGATAAGATGTTGAGTTTCTACACATGTGTCTCAGATTGGAAACTCTCACATTCTCTAAAGTATTGTAATAGTTTCGAACTCTTTTGCTTCCCCTCAATATTAATAAATTTAAAAATAAAAACATGAAAAAACACAAGAGAATGTTGCAAATTGTTGAGGATTTCAGCTAAGGCGCGACAGGGACTCTGTGGTGATTAGCCCAGTAATACACAAAAACAAACGGATAGGGATCAAACGTGGGTTAAGTCAAAATGATACGTACATATTTGTGATGGGCCAGCAGTAGCACAGCAGCAACATTAACGAGAAAGAAGCCTAAAGAAACAAGGAACCTCTGGCTCTTATTCGTTGTCACATGCATGGCAGAAACACACACAGACAGATCTTAATGGGACGGCGGCAGTGAATCCAAGTGACTTGTTTACCCAACCCTCCGCCCCACAAACTCTCTTCTCTCTCTTTATCTCGCTTCAACCTGTCAGTCAGTGGTTCCTTCCCATCAGTCTTCTCGACACATATATAACCCCAAATCCAATCCTACCATATTTCTCACTGGAGCACTACTACTATTATTATTACGTACGTATCAACTGATTACTTCCTCGGTTTATTTGGCACGCAAAAGATCCTGCGAAAACTCTAGATCATTAGTAGAAATACAAAGCGAGCTTAAGGATGTTGGACTGGGGCCCAGTTTTCGTGGCGGTGGTGCTGTTCGTTTTGTTATCTCCGGGCTTGCTGTTCCAGTTGCCCGGCAGCCATGGCTGTGTGGAGTTTGGCAGCTTCCACACAAGCGGTCCCGCCATCATGATTCACTCCCTCCTCTACTTTGGTCTCATTTGTGTCTTTTTGTTGGCCATCAGGGTTCATTTTTACGTTGGTTAACTAAAATTCTTAAGTTACTCCACCTCCTGTGTACTGATCGAGGTAAAAATGGACACAATCTGAACAATGTGATCAGCTTTTGTTTCATCGATATTCTGTGTTACTTCATGAATTTGTAACATTTCAACTACAATGTTTGGGATTTTTCAGCAATAATATGTAAGTTTTTGGCGGCTTTGATTAATTGATGAAGGGTGGTATTCTTTTTTTTTTGCAATTTGGGTTGGGAAAGTAAAAACAGTGGTAACATTTACGTTGGATGGTTGAAGCTTGGATTTCGATCATTGGATTTCGATGTGCCTATTTCATTGATGATTGGCTTAGCTCTCACTCGTGGATAAAGCGGACTCGAGCGAAATAGCGGGCGTGGTCCATGTAATATTGCAACCTGATATTTCCGTAGTTAAAATCAATATATATATATATATATATATATATATATAATGTTATTCAAAAACTTGCACTACAATCAATTAAAAGTATATGTAGCTGCACAGGGATGTTCAGTAAAAACAATAGAATAATGCTCGGGAGATCAACTTTTTAAACCAAATTTTATAGATCATATGACATGTTTGTTGATGATTGGGTTATGATTTAAGTGTTGATTAACATGCTTATTTCCTATTCGTGCCACATCATATAGTTTGCATATTTTGTTTAAAAAAATTAGTCTACCTAGCATTACTCAAAAGAATAGAGGGTCAATATGAATGAAGAGGGCATAGATAATATTTTTTACTAATCTGGATGGTCGGAATATAATATGGTTGCAATTTAAAACGAAACGAATTAAATTGTTTTATAGTAAAAAAATTATGTTTTAAATTCTTGTGGTGAAGTCTGTTAGTATCTAAACTCAAAATTGAAAATTCCGTCAACTCGCAATTAGATTTGTCTTTTTTTTTCCTTTAAACTCATTCAACGTTCTCTTCATGCCCAACAGGAAAGGAAAAAACAAAAAAAGCCATTCAGTGTCCCACTGAATTTGAACTGGGATCGAACCGAAATCGTCTATTGAAATAATAGAGGTGAACGATGAAACCGAGAAGTCGCGAGATGGGTGTTAGGATTCGCCGTAGAAATCGAAGTGGGTTTGAGTTAGATATCTAAGAGGGTTGTTGAAATTGTTTAAACTCACATAAGTATTTTGGAATTATGCTTTGATTTTTAATTGATGTTGATTTTGATGATTTGTAAAATTTTAATTAAGCTGAAGAATTGTGGGGGAACCCAAACTGTACTGTGAACGGAGTTTCGTCGTCTAGGGCTTATATCCATTGATGAGGATTCTCTACCCTTCTAATTTCTCTACTCTTTCATGTCCTCCTATTTAAACAGTCACGGTTAAGTCACGTCAACATCTTATATTAATTTTTTTTATAGAGATAATAAGACAAAAAGCAATGTGTGAGTGGAAGGGATGGAAGATGATGAGAATAGGAGGGTAGAGAATCCTCCTCCATATCCATGCACCTACATGCTGGTTTTGTATGTATTAGACTTAGGTCATCTCCAATTGAAAGATGGTCAAAATGCTCCTTTTAGCCCTATAATCCTGCAAGAAATTATATTTTAATGAACAATGTTAAGCTATATTTTATATTATCTCCAACCGAGAGGGCCAAAGGGCTATAGGCCGAACATAACCCTTTGACAAAAAACCATCTCTAACGACCAAAGGACCGTAGGCCAAACATAATTTATTATTTTAATTAAATTAATATGGTTAATTAAATTAAATTACCATATTAAAATAAGATTTTTAGACATATTTTGAGTGTCACTTGTCGCCAAATGAATAAGTCTCTGGATTTCTTATCTTTATATAATCTCAATAATTTTTTGGATAGGATTTCGAGTAATACGTGAGTAACTCTCTAGATTTCTTATTTTTATGTAATCTCAATAATTTTTCGGATAGGATTTCAAGTAACACGTGTAGCTAAAGTGAGTAACTCTCCAGATTTCTTATTTTTATGTAATATTAATAATTTTTTGGATAGGATTTTGAGTGACACATGTCGAGATGTAATTGGTTATGCAAATTTTAGATAGGATTCTTATCTATGTGACACTTCTTATCTTCAACTTTTAATGTTGTAGGAATGATGTAGGTATTTATAGGAATTTTTTTTTTAATTCGTCAAAAAAAAAATTTCAAATTCCAAAGGTAACCTGACGGTAGCATGACGTTAGCTAGCCGTTGCTAGTTGGCGTCACGTTGACGCCAGGTAGCCATTGACATTCAACTGGGCTGAGCTGGAGGGCTGGCTGGAAATGGCCAGCTCGCTGGCCTGATTTGGGGGTTTGGGCCCAGTGGGGTCTACAAACCCTTTGGCCTAGCTCTCGGTTGGAGACGGTTTTCGTATCATTCTGAGCTATTTTAAGCCCTATAACTCTTTGACCAAGTCGGTTGAAGATGACCTTAGATATGGACTAAAACGGTTCAGGACTTCACAGCACATCCGTATGTGGAGCCATGTGTCACAGTGGTCCGTTTTAAAACATATTAGACTTGAATTGAATATGGTGACATCGTCAATATTAAAAAACGATTAAGGAAAATGGTCATCAACCACAGCTTTTTAAAGGGTTTTGTTCATCACGTTGCTGCTTTGCCATATGTCTAATTAGCATCATCCATTCCACAAGGCACCGGCCAAATATGATGATTTATCATTTTCCTCTATATATATAAGGAGGTGGCAGAAGATTTCTTGATCCACAATCAACACTGATGCTCCTTCTTTTCAACATTCCTTTCTTCCGTTGCTTAATTACTTACCCTCTTTGATTCTCTTCTTTCTTCCCTTTTAATACCACACACATAAACTCTTTGTGACAGCCTACACTTGCACACAAAGAAGTAAAAACAGTAGGAAGATCATCTCACATATCGTAAGGATCGAATGGCGGATTGGGGGCCGGTGGTGATAGCTGTGGTGCTGTTTGTGCTTCTGAGTCCGGGGCTGCTGTTCCAACTGCCGGGGAGGGGCAAGGTGGTGGAGTTTGGGAACATGCATACGAGCGGGATATCGATCCTCGTCCACACCATCATCTTCTTCGGCCTCCTCACCATCTTCCTCATCGCTGTTGGCGTTCACATCTACACTGGATGACCATTACCTTAGTTTCCACTTTAGAGAATTGCTTTCTTAATTATTTCATTTAATTTCAATATGCATACTTTGTTCAGATTGCTTGTTTTGAATTTGAACAGTACTGTTTGATGTTCTAAGTTTTTCCTTATGATCGATAAGAAATTGGTGAGAATAAGTTTCTTAATTTGGGGAAAGCATGTACTCCTCAAAACTTTCTTTTTTTTTTTTGAAATTTCTTGTATTCTCTAATTTTTATTGAACGCCATTGGTTCTTTACATCTAAGAGCATCTCAAAATAATATGCCAAAACTGTCACATAGGTATATAACAGTAATACAAATTGTGGTTATGTGTATTAAAAATTTAATAACTTAAAAAATAAAATTTCTCACCACTCCTATTAAAACACTTGGTGTACCACTTGTGTTTCCATCACAACTAAAAATTTCTCCACAAAGTGATTAAAAAAAAAAATTAGAATGACATTATTATTTAACATATTGGTTGGATCAAAGAATTGTACAAAATGCCAAATTGCCACATAAACCATTAAATATCGATTTAATGTTTTAAATTTGACATCTCCTTTGGAGATGCTCTAAGAAGTCATTCTCTAATTTTTTTTTTTTTTTTTCTTATGATCAAAATTGAATGACCATAAATTCTTAACACCATGTGATCAAGAGACCGAAACTCTATTTTGACGTGAGAAGCACTATTCAGACTTGATCGGGAGAAAACCACCCCATTTTCAGTTCTTAAGCACTTGGCTGTTTGAAGTTTCCAAAAAAACAAAAAAAACACTTGGCAGTTTGATGTCATTTTCCCTTGGGCTTTTGACATTTTCACCATCTTCCTTGGTTGTAACTTGTACACTTCGCAACCCCTCACTGACTTGTCGGACATCGCCGCACGCTTTTGTTTTCTACGTCACAATCAATCAATTTTCTCACAGCTAACATTATGAATTATCGAGAAAAAGACAGGAGACAATGCACAACTAATGGCAGCCTACATCCCCACTACTTACCTTGAAGAACTTGCATGGCACGAGTTCATGACAACTGTAGCGCCCAGTGTGATTGTTGCAATGCCTTGTAGAAAGAAATTTACATGAGACATTACACAAAACGCCAGTGCAACAACAGTATACTCATGTCATGAAAGTCTCTGTTACCTAAAATGACAGCTGGCCAAATTAATTCGTTATGGAGATGATTCCATCCTCATCCCATGCCTCTACATTTCCCACTGGATAGATTGCGTACATTTAAGTTAAAGCGAACGACTTTAAATTCCCCTACAATTTTCCCATCCCTTCCCTTCCCTTCCCTGCCCACACAAGTTACTACCAACCTTATCGTTGACAAACCAGTCCCAACATACAAATATGCACAAAACAACAAGTGAAAGATCATTTGTTCCAGAAATTGAAGAAATGTTGAGCTGAGCTATAAACTTTTACAGATTTGAGAACAAGAGATATATAGAGATGTATATGCACTGAACAACACAGATATCAGAACAACGAAGAGGCTAAGCGACATCCCCCGCCATCTCCTCAAAACCAGGAATTCCATCATCCTTCAACAATTCACTATTTCAGAAGCCATTTCCCCGTATTCAGTAGAGTATTAATAAAACATTTATCCACTGTGTATGCATCAATTACTTCAACAAGCTCTCGTATTTAATTTTCCGCCCCCTTTACCTATATGCAGCACCACTCTCACAAGAACAACATCTGTGCTGCTGCTGCTGCTGCTGCTCCGTCCTTCCATAAGACATATCAACTTTCTTGAACCACCTCCTCCCTCTCCTTCACAATAGCTTCCATGCTGCACCAATAGAAAATTTATAGAGACAGTTATTAACGATCTTCAGAGAAGTACCAATCGAGGCAGCAAATAATATGTCCTGTGCGTATAGAATGAATGAGGGAACAGGGACTACACCATTAACCTTGACAGGGGAAAAGAGAAGGGAAGATGAACCAAAAAATAACTAAATGTCAAACACGTCCTCGCAGGCCTTAACTTCACATAATATTTCCTTAACTTTTTAATAAAAATATACCCACGACTAATTATACTTCAGATATCATTTTCAATACCAAAACGCTTTGTGAACAGCCACATGGACCTACATCCAATCCGAGCAGAGTTCTAACTAAATTTAAATCCAAGCTAGCATGTTCATCCTTCAATTGGGTTTGATGAATCTAAACCCTGGTTAGTCGGGCCAGGTCACATTTCATTGCACATTCAACACAAGTGTTTATCTTCCTTAGCGGCTTTACAAAGTAAACAAAACCTTCCAATCTGTTTCTTCCGTTACAGGAACTTCAAGATTGTGGGACTGCTCAAATTAACAGATGAGAAATTTAGAAGAAAAAAACAAAGTATTCCTAGGATACCAATAAACAAAGATGTCCAAATCAATTTTCCTCTCGACGTTTTCTTATTGAACGATTATATGCATTTCTGAATCGAGGGGTATTAATGAAGTTTAATACTTTTTCATCAATGATGGATTAAGGCTGGAAATTTGGCACAGTTGTGGCAGCAATCAAAGCGGAATTTGATGAACAGATGGGGGGCCGAGGGAAAGCCAAATACTAATGCATATGCAGCACATGGCTCCGCGCTCTAACAGAGCAAATGGTTTGAGACTAATTTCTAGCTGGTTGTATAGTTGTTCCCCAATAGCGCGATATTCCAATTCCAATCAAAGTAGGTAAATTTAACATCAAATGTTAAATCAAAATGTTTCCAAATATAACCCCCTTTCTGGTTCTAATTAAAGAATATATAATCTTCGAAATAAAATATGTTTAGCAAATGGTTACAGATGATATAATACACAACGAAAAACCAGACAAATTTCATACCAAAATATACAGACGAACAACATCAAAAAAGCCATAAACCATGGAAAGGAAAACAGAAGCAGATTATCCACCAATAGACAAAAACAAATACTAAACGCTGAGAATTAACGCTAAAAAGGAACAGAACTTACCAGGAATGTCCCTCCGCGGCGTCGACGGAGCAGAGGCGTAGCAAAGAATGGACTTCCCCAAGAAGGAGAGGCTCGATAGGATCCCCGCCACATACAACACCATCAACAATCCCAGCACCCACGGCATCAATAAGAACCCAATGAAGAAAGTCACCGATCCGCACAGCATCAGAGCCATCGAAATCCCCAGCATCAACGACGCGAACCCAGCCGGAGAGATCTGCGCCGTCGACGCCGCCGGCGGCCGCCTCAACGACGACGAAGACGAAGACGGCGGCATCACCGTGGAGTTATCGGAGAATTGAATCGGTGTGGAAGGAGATCGGAGGAGGTTGAGAACCAGAGCCGATAGCTCGTAGAAAACCCTAGACTGCTGGTCTTGTTCCTGCTGCCTCCGCATCATCTTTCCTTCTTATTTTCTCGGGAAAATTAGAAAATTGAGGTCAGCAACTCTTAAAAAAGCCCAAATACTTCGAAATCGAAATCGAAATTTGGGCGAATTTTTGCTAGAATCGAGGCAATCGGATAAAGAAGTCGGTATGGATTGGATAGAGTTCTTTCTCTTCTGAATCCTTTTGTAATAATTAAATTCCAAGTGGTGAGTTTTGAGAGGCAGAGGTTTGTTTGTTTCTTTTGATAAAATCTCAAACAGAGAGAGAGAACCGGATTTTGCTTTTCTTTTGTTTTTTTTTTTTTTTTCTCGGAAAATCGGCTGTTTGGATTGGAAGAAAAAACAGCGAAAAGAAAATAAAGAGGGGAGGGAAAATCAGCTATAAATGGAGACTTCAGCTATTTGCGCGCTTTATCTGGAAAGCAAAAAATAATAGGAGGTAGTTTGGGATAGGACTGAGGGCACGTGGCGGGCGCGATGTGGACTGGAGTGGAACTGCAGTCAGTGATGAGATGAGTTGTGGGACCTTATCGTCTCCCGCAAACAATCACCTTTTTATTTTGAGTATATTTTTGCTACTAAAGTCATTTGGTACTTATTATTTTATTTATTATTGTTGTATAAATTTAAATTTTAAAATTAATAATAAATTTAAATTTTAAAATTTACAAATTAAATTTATTGAAATGATTCATGCTTAAGTAGGAGACGGTTTACAAACTAATAAAACAATTATAGCAAAAATATTGTACAATTTTATTCTTTTTTTGATAAAAGAATAAAAACAAATAGATGAGTTGTTTTGTGAGTTTGTTGAATCATCCTAGCCTGTCATATTGCTATTATTTGTGGGTTTGAATTTTATCATGCATTTTCCGGAACCGGATCTCCTCCGGATCCAAAAAATCTGAGCTTAAGGATCAAATGATTCGGGCCATTGAAATTTGATCCAACGGCTACAAACAAGAGATCCCTCTAAAGTTATAATAATTGTAGCAATTAGATCAAATTTCAATTGCCTGAATCATTTGATCATTGGGCTCAATTCCTTTGGGTTCGAAAGGGGATCTGGTTCATTTTTTGCCAAAATGGTCATCGAGATTGGTAGAACTCTCATTTTGGTCCTTGAATTTTGAAATCGATGGAGATGGTTCTTAAGTTAATCCACCATCAATCATTTTCTTTCTTTTGCGAACAATCTCTGTGAAAAAAGACCAAAATGATAAAAATACATTTAATAAATAATAGGCAAAATGATTTGACAAAATTTGATCATATTTTTGTCGTTTCAATCCTATTTAATAGAAATTTATCATGAAATAACTAAAATAATTGACGATAGATAAATTTAGAGACCACTACTATCAATTTTAAATCATAAGAACCAAATCTTGTTAGAGCTCGAAAAAAGTAACATACTGGGGCCCAAAAATTTTCTATGTACGTTGGCATATTTAAGATATTATTGTTTGAATTTTCTCACTTTGATCATGCAGCTATGAAATTATTGTTACATACGGGTGGCTTATAATTTGAGAAATCTTGTAATCAAATGGTGCCAAATTTGAAGTCAGATCATTCATTGAAGTTGATCCACAAAATTATTACTTTTATGAAATTGGGATGCAATGAGGTCTCAATCCCATATACGTGCCATTTTATATCCCTCAAACATCCTATTTGTAAATCAATATACATATATATATATATATAGAGACGTATTATTGGCACTCCAAAAATTTCATTCTACATTTCTTATAAGTGTATTTTTCTTTCCAAATATAGAAAATTTGAAGTGTGGAATGAGATTTTTGAACTGTCAATAACAATTTTATATATATATTCAATTTCATACCTTGACCAGGCCCATTAATTAACAAATATCAGTTTGCACAACTTCAACAAAATTACATACATGTCAATGTCATTAGCCAAGCCCCTCTAGACTATTTTTCAAAAACAATTTCAGCTACATAAAGAATCAATTTGTATACTTTTTAGTATAATCAATTATACTTTAAATAAAATTACATGTAAGCCATTAGCCCAAACCTCTTCAACCATTTTTGCACAAATTGTTTCACTTATATGTAGAATTAGTTTTGTATATCAATTTGTGTACCTTTTAGTAAAACTAGTTTGTACATATAATTTTGGTTTTTATCACAAACGATTCCTGAAATTAACCCACACCATCAAGATGGTCATAGAAATTAAAAATCAATCAATGTAGTCTCTGAAAATAAGTGTTGCGAATCAAAATGATCCTTCTTGCCACAATTCTGTAAAAAAATTTGTTATGTGCTTATGTGAGTTTAATAATTAATTAAAAAATTGTCTAAATACTTTTTTTGCACAATGAATTTTTTTACTTCTTATAGTAGGGCCTACTCTGAAGAGAGATCCCTTCCATAAATTCTCAAAGGCATAAGGCTTAACCAAGGCCTAAGAGGGGGTGTGGAAATAGTTTTCAACCAACAATAGACACATCTCAGTCATTACCTCAAGGCGAACCTCGCCGTTCTTTGCATCATTAGACCACCATGGAAGCACCGAACAAGCTCTCCAAGATTAAGGTTGTGAGGATGTTGATCGCCTAAATGTTATGATGATGTCCCAGTAGTCGTTGCCAATGGGCCAAGCCGTCATCAAAGGTGATCTCGATCAAGATTCAATTTAGTGAAGGGTGTTGAAATGTGTAAAGATAGGTGTATTGAGATTTTTTTAGAAAATAGAGAGCGAATGAGGAATGAGGTAGAAAAATGTGAGCTGGGATCGAAGGTGATTGCATGATTGTGTTTTTGGGTTTTGACCAATTTTTTTTTTATTAACTATTAAATTATTAAGCATCTTTGTAATTTTTTTTAATTTAATTAGACTTGTGTGACCCATTTATGTGACACATCTGTCATCAGCACAAAACATAATTTTTGACAAAATTATGACGGAAATACTACATTAATTTGAGACACATACTTACGGGACTACATTGATCAATTTTCAATTTCAAGGACCATTTTGATGTAGCGGGTCAATTTCAGGGACTATTTTGATGTCGTAAGTCAATTTCAATGATCATTTGTGAGAAAATATGACTTATGAGGCCCATTTACGTTGCACAACAGCACTTAACATAATTGTGACGGAATGATCATATTGATTTGCGACACCTATTTTTAAGGACTACATTAATTGATTTTCAATTTCAATGATCATCGTAATAGCAAAAGTCAATTTTAGAATCATTTGAAATAAAAATCCTATAAGTTTTAATAAATCAGTTCGTATACGTTAGAAAAATATCTTGTGAAAATGACAACATAATTATCTATAAAATCAGTTTGTATACGTTAAAAAATATCTTGTGAAAATGACAACATAATTATTTATAAAATCAGTTTAACTATTTGTACAATTAATTTTGTATATTTTAATGTCAATAGTCAAACCAACCACCCACACCAGCTGTAGATTCAAAAACTTTCCTTGTTTGATGAATAGACATATATTATTAAATTAACATTGATGGTTAAATATGGGGACACATATTTTGACTAATCTTATTGATAAACGTTTTCCTCGTGTGCAACATTCTCATAATTTACACAAATAATGCACTTTCATGCATTTTCTTTTAGTTATTATTCTTAATTTTGTATCAGAGTTATGATTATTCGTAGTGATAATTAAGTTGCTGCATTTACGAGGGTTGATTCAGTCGGTAAGATTTCTATCTTGTGTGTTGCTTCATCAAAGTTCGAGTTTCGCTGCCAACAATTCTCGTTAAATTTCTATGTAAATCTATACACGTGGCAGCTGACAATTAGATGCCACGCGTAAGCCCTTCGACTCGAGGTTGTTGATATACCCTTGTGCTGGTGATAAGAATAACCAATCTTCCCCTAAACTTAATCGAAACAAGTAAGTTGTTACATTTACGAATTTGTATCAAATACTAGGTTGAATATCATTATACCTTACTATAAGTTAAAAGTATCACTCTTTCATATAACGTATATTATTAAGGAAGAAGGCCTTATGATTAAACATTCATATAGGTCCTAATATGCCCATAAAATATTATAGAAAATCAAAATTTCAAAAAATACTTTTCTATACTTACAATCTTCGGCAAGGTCTAAACTTACTGTTTCATTTATCAATTGTGAAATGACAATATACTCATCAAATGGTTAATATACGTGTATTTCTTAAAATTTCTAAGTTTTCGAAAATTGTATATCAAGGTAAAATCCTGTGTGCTTGGTCAAGAAAAATTCTCGTGCATATACGAAGCGTAAAAAAACCTCTCTTAAAAATTATAATAAAAAATAACTAACATAACATATTTTTAAAAGCGCATAACCCTGTGAATAAAAAAAAAAAAAACCCTTTCGCGATCGTAAGCACATTTTGAATGTCAAGGGTTGTATTAAGCGACAAGTAAACAGCGACAGAAAGAAGCAATACTTCTGTCTTGATTGGATAAGAACGTGGCATCTGTCGATAAAGTTGCAAAAAATGTACGCAATGGACATGGACATTTGTGGCTATAAAGTCAAGCTTCTCGATCGTCTTGTAGCGCGCACAAGAATATTGAACACTTGTGTAAGGCCTGGATTCATGGGCCTAAATTTTGGTCAGATTGTCCAGCCCAGTAAATTCAGGCCCAACTGACCTTGTGCTGCTTCAAGATTAGAAGTTCCACCCTCACAAAAGAGTCCAATTCCTCCAAAATCAAGATATCCAATTCATGATTCCATTTGTGTTTACATTAATTCTCATATAGTCAGGAAACTAAATGAGTAATTCGTAATCGAAAATTCGAAATCCTAACTTCATATACTCAGGAAACAAAAGAATAATTCGTAATCGAAAATTCGAAATCCAACTTCGTATTCTAATTTCAATTACGTATAAGTAAACATGTACCAAAAATGTTGACCTTCAATTTTCTGAAAAGAAATCATGATTTTTAACTAACTTGGCTGAACTTGGATATGCATAATGCTTTAAACTTTCTGCTTAAGGCTAAATAATTGGTGGCTGGTGGTGGACTGGAAATTGAGAAGAATTGAGAGGCAAATGCAGAGAATTTGGATGGGCAAAACAACACCAAAAACTGGAAATTGACAATTCTTAAAGGTCCAGAGTTAATTATGGCATAAATAAATCCATACAATTACAGAGAAATGAATGTCGTCGTTGATCCTTTTAGGTCAAATAAAACTCAAACATAAAAACAAAACATGCATAGATTGTATCTTGCTTATCAATATTAACTGCAAATAACATGCATGGCTATAGCTGCTGTTTTTGTTGATGACCATGCATGCATACTCATGGCAACCATCCTCCCATGTAATTACTCAAGCTTGGACCTGCTGTCACCACCGATATTGGATCATTCTGATATCTGCAAAATTAAACAAGTACATTCATTCAATGAGAAAGATGACTCAAACCCAGAAAGAGAAAGAAAGAGAGAGTATCATCCATATATTACGAGTCTTAAACTTCACAATAGTCACTGACATTAGTTGTACAAAATCGGGCACGCGAAAGGCCTATAAGTGGCTAATTAGTGATGTTCAATTTAATTAAAATGCTAATTAACTGGGTTTAGCATAGAGGCTAATTAAATACAGAAGACCTAGACCTGGCATCCACACCTTCTAGGTTCAAGCAAGAGGAGATGATTTCAAGTACAGCATAGACTTAATTAGGTTTGGAGGCCAAATTAAAATGGTTTCCTTAATTATGTAACTTAGGGAGTTTGATGATATTATAAAATGCAGTACTAGTACAAGTACATACCCAATTTGTAAAGTGGGCTCGCAGTCTAAGGGATGGAAGAAGACATCACCCTGGGCCGCCTGAGCTTGTTGGCGGCCGTACTCATCGGCATTTGCATTCAGTTGGAGTGCATGGTATCCCTCGAACAACTGCACAACATGAGCACCAAAAGGTCAGCTGGTACGTGCAGCGTCTGAAAACAAAATCAACTTGATTGTTCAAAACTATTGACGTTTGCCTACCCTTTCTTTCAGGGTCTTATTTGCTTCGTTTAGCATGTGCTCCTGTGCATAAATAAATTAATAAATAAATATACAGGATGATGATATATATGCATTTGCGAAAACTGAAAAGCACGAAAACTTTCGTTGGCCAAGATGGGAAGAGTAAACTCAAATGAAAATACATAAGGATATATGTGTGCTCGTACCTTTCGCTGAAGATCTGTGAGCTGATCCAGCATACATTGGGTCTGTAACATAAGAATGCATACCAAGTTACAGATATCAGTTTATGTCATGCATGCTTCACTTTCAATCTGGAAAATCTGTTTCGTGTTCTTGGTTTTGGATTCCCATTCTCTATATACTAGGTAAAACTTATTTTTTTTTCTTCATTTTTTATTTTATTTTGCAATAAGGATGATTTTCCATGCATTTATACACACGTCTGATTCACTTCATAGTTTTCAAATACAACAAGATGCAAGCCGTTTCAAATATCACAAAAAGTTGGAAGAGTTTATGGAGCACCTGACAAATATACATGAAAAATCTATCACACAATAATAAAAACCTTGAAACAGCCAAATATTCAAGGAATCACTGAGAAAAAAGACAATATGTTAAATCAATTTAAACAGTAATTAGGTGGCGATCGATGAGGTCAGGTACCCGTGTGGATCTGATCTGCTTTAGCGACATATCCAGCTGCCTTTCAAGTGATTCAAGATCTTTGCTGCTTAGAGGGCCAAGATCTTCTCCAAGGAGATTCCTAAGGTAGTTACGAGAAAGTTCGTACTTAGTAAACCTAATTTTTAGCCTTTAAGGTTTATATAACTGAAGGTCGGAAAGGCAATAACCTTTGGTTTCGTTGTAGGGCTTCGAAACGTGCCTTGAGCTTCAAATACTCCTGCTGGCTACTCAACTCCTGCATATATATATATGAATTAGGAGGTTGCCATATATATATTTGAATCCAAAACCTTTCCTACAAGGCACCTTAATCACATTTTTGGTCTAATATACATACAAAAAAAAAAATTAATAAAGATTTCATATTGTACAAACATTTGAATTAGTAAAATGGGGAGGGATCGACCTATATATTTAAGCATGCCTAAAAACACGTTAAATTTCTATCTTCAAACTTAGCTTGTGGAGAATTCCGAATTGAAAATGTTTACTGATTATAAATTCATACTTTCTTTCATAAGCTAATCAACCAACACTAAGATTCTTTAATAACAAGACAAAATGTTAAGCTTCTTTGAGTCCCAAACATTGAAGTATTTGTGTAAGTAATACATCAATACTAAGAAAAACGTTGGGATTGTCTTTTACTAACAATCAAGCTATGCAACAACAATAAGATAGGGAGAGAGAGAAACAATTAGCAGGAGATAGAAAATAACCAAACCCTTAATTAGGAAATGAGTCAACTATGTATATCAACTAACACCTTCCTTCACTTGCATCTATCTTATGTGGGAAGAGGTAGACAAATGTAATAAGATTTAAGTGCAGTGCCACCTTATTGGTTAACAAATTACCGAGGTCCGGGATGGGTGCCGGTTAGAGGTTTCAAACTTAATTAGGACTTCATATAACCAATTACAGCTTATAAATCATGTGACAATAGTAGAATTCAAAAACTAAGGATCGTTTGATAATCATTTCGTTTTCAGTTTTTACTTTATCTGAAAACCAAAAACTTGTTTGGTAACTGCTTTTGGTTTTTAGTTTTCAGAAAAATAAAAACTAAAAACTAAAATCGAAATAGTTACTAAACGGATCCCAAGTTATTATTGGTCAATAGGCTAAAGGAAAAACCAGTAAAAAAAGTTTCAATGTTAATTGTACTTTCTTCAAAACATTCTAAATATCCATAAGGTTTGAGAATGAACCCTTGTCATAATGCAGTGTTTCTGGCCAGTAGTTTTGTTTCTTTTGTATCCAGTCAATATTCCTTGTTATGTAGGGTAATAAGCAAGAAACTCAATATCAACTAATTAATTGAGATGAAAGTATTACCAAGGCCTCCCTTGTTGATACATTTGTCTCCGGTGCTCCATAGTTGCACTTCTGGTACCTCTCAAGAGTTTTGAGCATGCTGTACAACAACATGAACAAACATGCATGTAAACTAAACACTCTTTGAAACATTATTTGAAGGGTGTAAATCATACAAAATATGCACTGATGGTTTAGAGGAGAAAACAGACATCACAGGCCAGATAAAATGAGATATTTTATGCGCGCGTGTGTAGGAAAACATGTAATTAGCAAAAACAAGTACGGAATTCCTTGTCCATATACAAAATTCGAATTTAGTCACACCTTGACAATTTATCGTTAGCTGAATGATATGAAAGTTTATAGAGAGACTAATAGTGAAAGTGTTAAGTCTTATACAATAAAAATAAATAAATGCTGCTTAAAAAGCTCTACCTCTCAAGCTTGCAAATTTCATATTATCTAACATAAAGTATGTGCAAATTAACTTAAAACACTTCAATAGTTGCGTAATTAAAATACTTTATAATTCAGTTGGTACTACAAGATCTAAGAAGGTTTTACATCACCATTGTACAGATGCATTTGAAAAACCAACAAACAAAGATGAAAATTGAAAACGGACAAAAGCAAGGCGATTATATATATGTTAATTTCTCATAGAAATTATACGTGTAAGTATAAAAAGATTTTTTACTGATAAGATAGATCACTGGTAAATTAAGCAACTAGAAAATTCAGAAGTGATGGACGTAAAGAAGTCATTTTTGACATAAAGTCAGATCAAAAAGAGTGAACAAGAAAAACCCTAAAGTCGGATCCAAGCCGAAATTGCAGAGATTTAGTACTAATCACTCGATGTCAAGATGTGATTGAAAAACACACTGGAAAACAAGGGAAGTCCTGTATATTTAAAGGACCCAAATGAGGAAGTCCAAAAACCAGGTAATTAACTGCTTGCTTTTGGCTTAATGTTGCCAGGAATCTCAATTTAATTTAAAAAAAAAAATAGAAAAATTGCCCGCCCCGAATTTTCTGTGAAAGAACAGAGATGATAACATTTTGTAACAATTTGTAAAAGAAGGAAAACAGAAGAAGAGAATTTGATAAAACAAAACCCTAGCTAAGTAATTAAGCAGCTAGGTTTTTGGAGAGAGAGAGAGAGGACCGGTTGATTCGTGAATCGCAGAGTAGTTGGATCCAATTGCAGATTAATTCGTCTATTAGTTGGTTCTTCCTGGAAGAAATGAGAGCTGAAAATCCGAAAACAGATACAGGAAAAACAAAATATCTACACCTGATGAAGAACAAAAGCCTGAAACTAATTAACTAAGCTGGCTCATCACAAAGCTTCAAATGCTGAAAGCCTTTTGGATCGATCAGATCGCTCTTATGATAAAAAAAATTAGGAAAAAAAATGGAAAATTGAGATAAATTGAGTGAAGCCAAAGTTAGGGCGAGCAAATTGAGAAGAGAAAAAAGGCAAGGGCTTTGTGGAAAACCACGTTCACAGAAGTTAAGGCGTTAATTAAGCATAGAGAGAGAGAGAGAGAGAGAGAGAGAGAGAGAGAGAGAGAGAGAGAGAGATCTTCTTTTGATGGCCTTTATCTTTATTTCCAGTTGCAGATCTAACAGCAATGCCGAAGCAGAAACACTCAACCTGCTAAAAACACCGAGGCAATCACCAAAACGGCAACCAAAAAAACGCCGCTAAATGTCGTCAAATTTCAACAATTTAAGACAAAAGGTGAATTTTTAAAAATAAAAATTAAATAAGTAAACTTCACGAGGAGCTTTTGCCAAAGCGCTGCTGCTGCTGATGCTTCATAACTCATGATTCAGCAGGAGAAAACTGGAAACATAAAAAAAGGTTCACGGAAGCAAACGCCTTGGAGATCCAAAAAAGCACTCCAGAAACAATAGAAGAAGAAAGATTGAAAACAATTGAAATTAAATTATATGAAAATAAACGAAAGTTAATTACTTAGTTATATAAGAAATAAGAAAGAAAGAGAGTGTATAAATTGATGTATGTGTGTGAGAGAAATTGCGATAGCCGAAATGGTACGAAAATGGAGGGAGGGAAAAGGCGGGGGGTTTAGTTGTTTTGGTGAAATAATATTGGAGAGAGAACCTTGAACTACTGCAAAACTCGTACAGCTTTCCTCTATTGGAGAAGATGATGAGAGCAACCTCGGCATCGCAAAGAACGGAAAGCTCGTAGGCTTTCTTCAATAGTCCGTTCCTTCTCTTTGCAAAGGTCACCTGTCTGTTGATCTTGTTCTCTATCCTCTTCAATTCCACCCTCCCTCTTCCCATCTCTCTCTCCTTCCTCCTCCCTACCTCTCTCTCTCTCTCTCTCTCTCGATTTCCTTCTCTATTCACCAAGTAAATTATGTGACGACTCTCTCTCTCTCTCTCTATCAAAAAACAACTACAACAACAATAGTTGCAAAAAGCTTCCTCTTTTGCTTTATTTATATACTTTTATTTTTCTATTTTCCTTTTTTATATAAATATGTATAATATTTTCATGGTTACGAGCTTAACACCATTACCATCTTCAATTCTCTCAAGAGTTTCACTCTCTCTCTCTCTCTCTCTATGTTCCTCTCTCTAGCTTTGTGTTTTGGTTAACAATGATAAGACAGACTAATTGAGCAGAAGGAATCAAATTAATAGTTCAAATCAGTGGTGACTCTGAGACAAAGATGGAACCCAACGGTTGAGAGTATTAACAATTAACATGAAACGAATTTACTGTTTTGATCTAATAGTCAAATGTTATATGAAGAGACATACACATAATTGTATTATAATATTAAATTGAAACGATAACAGTAAACTCATTCAATATAAATGTAAGTTTCATGGACGGGGAGGAGGATTTTGGCACTTGAGAAGCAGGTGATGCTCGAGAGAGAGACAGGCCAATAGGGTAAAGGCGAGCGAAATGGGAGAAAACCTTAAATCCGGCTGGCAAATGGGGCAATCAGTGCAGAGGTCCCCAAGGATGCTACGTGTCGAAATATTAAGTCAACAACGTTTGATATCCACCTGATCTATTTTCCGCCTCGGGCAATCATGTGACCCAACCTTAAGAAGTTGAGCCTTCGTATGTTCCCCCATTTTACCTAAATACCTTTCCTTTTGTCCCCACCCCATCGCCAGCCTTTGATTCAGCGATGGCTGTTTTCATCTTGCTCAAGCGAGCCTCAAGTTCAACTTACATAGATACAATGGTGATATATTTTTATTAAGTTGGAGTAATTCTCAAATTCGACTTTATCGATATGAGAACGATATATTGTTTACAAGTGGAAGTTTTAGTTGTGGCAAGTTCAATTGTGATAACGTACCTAATTTTGTTGCAGGAGTTGAGACTAGTTATAAATTTTTTTTATAAAGATTCCATTGTTTTAAGATCATTTGATTAGGAACAATACTTGGCTACTCAAAGGATAGGCAAAAGTTCCTACTCAAAATTGCTCAATGCCGATTTATAAAATTTTATTTTTATAATCGGAACGATTCATATATAAATCACTCTATAACGACCACATATGCAACAAATCAACCAAAACTAAGATTGTTTAGTCATTGAATTGTATAAAAATAGATGAACGGAATTGGTAAAGCATTAGAGACATTTACTACAATAGATTAACTAATCGACCTTAGTTTTAATTCATTTTTTATAGAGATTGTCTTTACAAAGTGATTCATAACATGAATTGTTCTGATTAATTATAAGCACAAAACTCTGTAATTCAAACACGGAAATATTTTAGTAGGAGTTCCTGCTCATCTTTAAATAGCCAAACATTGTTCTTTAATTAGCGGGTAGCTTAAGTGTACTTGATATTAATGTTATATAGTTTTAGGATGTACTTGTCTTAATTTTTCAATTGCAAAAATTACTCCAGTATTTTTGTGCAATTTTAAATTTTTACGTGGCTGGTTTTTACTGGGAATGTGTGGTAGGTCTGCATGAACATCTAGAGATTTAATTTTGGGTTTGCCAGTTTTTAAATCATATTTTCCAAGCAGCATAAAAATAGGATTTATTGAGAGAACTAGGAAAATCTTAAATCCCAAACCTTGCCTAGCAAACAGAAAATAAAAAGAAATAAACAATAAATATCAACCTAACCAATAATTTTGTCTACATTATTAGAAAATGCAGAGGTGAAATTCCTGATTTTTGGTTTTACCATTTAGACTAAGAAAAAAAGCAAAAATAAAAAAATTGTTTTATATGTTATATATATTTAGCGGGAACCAAATGATTTCAAATTGAACAACTTTTGGTACATCAAGGATGAGTAGAAGTTCCTACTCAAAACTTTTCGTGTTTAAATCACAGAGCTTTGTTGTACTCAAGGATGAGTAGAAATTCTTACTCAAAACTCTTCGTGTTTGAATCACGAATCTTTGTACTTATGATCAGAATCGTTCACATTATGAATTTATGAGTCACTCTAAAAAGATCTTATTTACCAAGTGATTTATAATATAAACGACTTTGATCATAAACACGAAGTTCTATTAAATCGGCAACAAATAGTTTGAGTAGAAACTCTGACTCATCATTTGAATAACCAAATATTATTCTTTCAAATTTACGAGTGATGCCATGGGTTTTGAGTATGTTTTGCACTAATTAATCAAATTTACGAGCATGCTCTATTTCAGGTCCATCTCGTCCTTACAAATTAAAACATGTTTTTTTTTAGGGTTTATCTTTTATTATTACCTAAACTGCCTAGACATGAATGGAACACAACATTGCTCCATCCAATAACACGATGATTCTACTTGACCTTAAACCTGTGTTTTGAGGATGTTTTGCACTAATTAATCAATTAGTTTAAGTGATACACTGTGATTTGATGGAGGTTTGCACACTTGCCAAATAAAATGTTGGTACTAAATATCTCTATTTTAATTAAAGACAAACAAGTAAACGTTTGAAACATTTTTTTTATGGGGTCGACAAGTTCAATTAACCGTGGAATATTTGGGGTTTGAGTGTTCTACCTTCTTTTGACTAATGTAACAAAGACATCACATGTCAATCTGGTTCTCTTGAAGCTTAGGTCATCTCCTACCGAAATGGCTAAATATAGATCCGTCTAGAATTATAGCGCTGCAAAGAATTATTTTAAATGAAAAGTGTCAGCCTATACTCATGTACCATCTCCAACCAAACAGGCTAAACATAGCCCATAAATAATGTATTAGTTTTAAGTTTATACTTTAATTTTATTGATTAATTTAATTAAATTACCATTAAATGTTTTCAAATCTAGTCGTTGAATTTAAATTAATTATTGCAATTAAAGAGCTGAGCCCCAAAAAAATTGCTAGGGGCTACATTTTGTCCATATGCCCCTTTTACCAAATAATGATCTGGTGGGCTTCATAGAAGTACAGCCCAACCATCGATTGGAGATGCATTTGAACAAATTAGGCATTTTTTTAGTTTTTAGACCTTTAGCCATCTCTATTGGAGATAACCTTATGGCTTTTTATGGTCGCTTAAAGTTAATTTGATCTAATTCAATGAATTAGGTCATTTAATTGTTTTTTTGTTTTTGTTTTTGTTTTTGTTTTCCTTTCTTCTTAACCGTTAAATTAGATCGAACAATAAGTAATCACAATTTGAACAATAAGTAATCACAATTTTTTTAAACCATAGGCCAGGGGAACGGGACTGCGACTGACAAAGACATATTTGAAATATTGACTCCATGGAACAGAAGCATGTGAAAATCTTGTGCAATGAAATGAGAGGAAGGTTTATACAAAAAAGGTGGTCTTAAGGAGACGACTCCTGGACTGGATCAAAGAAAGGAAAGAAGGTAGCTGAAGCAAGGTTTTGCGTAAGGGGTGAGGCAAAGACAAAGTACACAATGATTTATATGCGCTTCACCTTTTTTTTTCTTTTTTTCTTTTCAACAAACTATATTAGCTACACTTAGAGGAGGGGATGAGTTTAGCCGCACGATGGACTAGCAATAATGTGGCTCAAATTTGTCTTTGGCAAGAATCGAATATAAGATCTCTCACTTACAAATGAAGAGGAATATCACTAGATCGAGTGGCTGATGTTATTACAAGTTAAAGCAAAATAAAGATATTATAATTTGTCTTAAACATTTTCAAGCCACCCGTAAGTTTTTCCTAATCTATAGAATCATTTTTCTTTTTAGAATTCATTTTTTTCAATATTACTATTTGAATTTCAACTATAGATTACGTAGTGTAACAATTCACATATTTCAGTCTCTTGGATCGCACATGTATTGTCAAGATTGTAGAAGATTGACTAGCTGCAAACTACTAATCACATATATATCCTCCCAAAACTATTTATTATCACTTACAAGCTTCTATCATAAAAAAGCTATGACTAAATAATAGTAGAATCATTCATTATTACGTGTGGAATTCTTCTAATTTTACAACATGCATTGTCTACAATTTATTAATCACTTTGTCAAAATTATTCACGTTCAGAGTTTTATTTTAAAATAGTACTATTCAAACATTCATTTTATTTCCCACGCGCATTTATTAATTGTTTCAGTTGAGAGAAGAATTTGTTCAAAATAGGGAAGGCCAATACCAAACCAACGTCCCATCGGTCGCATCCTAGTCCCGTGCCGGCAATTTAGATTGTGAGTCTTTTTTTTTTTTTTTAATAGATTCTTTGTTTTATATATATATATATATTTTAAATCTTTTATCCAACGATATTAGGTAGAGATTTTAATTAAGTCACACAATGATTCATCAATAGTTAACTATCGAATTTGCAAGTAGTACTGGATAGAGGTTTTCGGTCTTCAGCTCACTACATCTCATGTTCACACCCTTCTCCTCTTTTAATTTAGCTTAGGGTATATAATAACATCGCTTAAATTAAAAAAAAAAAAAAAAAAAAAAAAAAAGTATCAACCTCGTTATTCATGACGAGCCTTAAATGAATGCAATATCACAAGACTAGACTAAAATACTAATGTTATTTTAAACACCTAATTAGCATAAGCTACAAGTAATTCGATCACTGAATCAATCCATGAACTAAAATAATAGTTGAAGTGCAATAAAGTGAAGAATAATAATTAAGGATAATAGAGTTAATTACAAAAAATTACCTCAAGTATGGGTCAAATGACACTTTCATACCTCATCTTTTAAAATTGACAATGTCATACCTCATCTTACGAATTTGTGTCAATGTTATACCTTCCGTTAGCTTGGCCGTTTATTTCTCAGTTAAATGCTGACGTGGCTTGATCTGAGACCCATTTTTATTAAAAAATTATTAAAAACAAAAAAAATCATTTAATATTATTTA